GGCCAGGCCCCCGTTGCTCAGCAGCTGGTGGATGGCCGTGGGCTTCCCGCCGGCCGAGGCTCCCAGGGACAGGGAGGTGGCCACGGGGATGGTGCGGACGATGGTGCCCGTGCCCGTGGTGATGGTGCCCAGGTTCTGCAGAGGGGTGGGCACCTTCCCAGCCGAGGTCTGGAAGGAGAAGCAGAAGCACTGAATGCCTGGGAGGGAAGGGGAGGCTGAGGGGGCCCCAAGCTCTGCCTCCCACAGAAGCCGGAGGTCTTGAAGGGCAGAGTTCTCACACTTCCTTCTGTGGAAGGTCTACAGGGAACTGAACTTGTCCCTTCCAGCTTGCACATACTCCTTCCAGCTTGAGAGCATGACTGGGAGAAACTGGGGCTCTGCTTCTAAGGAAGAGGTCACTTCAGACTGCCAGGCTGGGGAGTGCCGCCCATGAGGTCAGCAAATGAGGAGGAGGAAGGTTGCTGATCCTCTCAGAGATCACTGACCAATCCATTCTCCAACTCCTCCTCAGCATTTCTAGGTGGCCACTCAGAAACATCTTCCTGTAGCCCTGGCTCCCAGACCTCATGCCACTTATAGGAACCTTTTGCCCCAGGCACAGCACTAAGGCTTGGACACATCATGTCAGCTGCAGCTCACACCCACCACCCCTCATCTCTCCTGGTCCTGGAGCTAACAGGGCCTAGCTAGGTTCCCTTTGTCTCCCACTGCCTTCTGCCCCCCAGAGGGGGTCCTCAGGGGTCTGCAGTACCTGCACAGGGGGCCCAGCAGCAGCCACGCTGGCAGGAAGGGCTGATGACTTGGTGCCAATGTCCTGCAGGCTGAAGCTCAGCCCTTGCAGCAGGCTGCTGGCAGATGCTGCTCCTACAAAAAAAAAAACCCAAAAGAATAAAGAAATCAGGCTCAGAGAATTCACCAGCATGAAATTCCAGTCTTCCAGATTGCTCTTTAAAGAGCAGCTTCCCAAGCAGCAGACTGGTGGCTTAGCTCCTCTGAGCCTCCCCACACACCCCTCACCACTGCAGCTACAAGGGAGGTTAGTGGTGAAGCCCAGGAGCCAAGAGGTCAGGATTAGTCCCTCAAGGCATCATCACCCACAAACGACACCATTTAGAGGTGACCTGCTGCACCTTCAGCCTCACCTGACTCTCTGCAGGCTCTACGAGAGCCAAACGCTGCAATCTCTGCCTCAGCCAACCCCAAAGCAACCAGGGAAGGGCAAGAAAGAGGCTGCACCAAGAGGTTCTGAACCTGGCTCACCTTCCACCTTCACGTGGAGAGAGGGGACGTACCTTGGAGGGTGCTGGCTGGCTGGGCTGGCAAGCAGTGGGAGCTGCTGGCCACCAGGCTGGCCACCAGCCTGCTCTGCAGGGCATGGAAAGCACTGGGCGTGGTGCTGCTGGGGATGACGGCGGACGGAGCCGGGCTCGTGGAGGTCTCTGCTGCTGAGCTCAGCCTACAAAGGGAGCAGAAGAGGAGGAGTCTGCTCAGTGAGGAGCTACACGGGGCCAAGGTGAGGTGGCTGGGACAGTGAGGGGTCACCAAGCAGGACTCCTGAAGTGTCAGGCAGGGAGGTGATGAGCTACAAGAACTCAAAGCAAGAGAAGTTTCCTTGTGTCCCTCAGTTCCAGAGTGGTGTCTCTGGAACTGAGGGACACAAGGAGCTACTGGAGAGTCCAGTAGAGGTTCCAAAGCTGCTGAGGGGCTGGAGCATCTCTGTGCCAGGACAGGCTGAGAGCCCTGGGGCTAGTCAGCTGGAGAGAAGCCTCAGAGGGGATCTGAGCAGTGCTGAGCAAGAGCTAAAGGGCCCCGGGGGGCAAGAGGCTGGGGCCAGACTCTGCTCAGTGGTGCCCAGGGACAGGACAAGGGGCAACGGGCACCAACTGGAACCCAGGAGGTGCCACCTGAGCAGGAGGAGAAACTTCTTTGGGGTGAGGGTGCAGAGCCTGGAGCAGCTGCCCAGAGAGGCTGTGGAGTCTCCTGCTCTGGAGAGATCCCAAACCCTCCTGGCTGTGACCCTGGGCACCCTGCTGGGGGTGAGCTGCTGGAGCAGGGGGGTTGACCAAGATGATCTCCAGAGGAACCTTCCAGCTCCACCATGCTGGGATTGTGGGATTCTGTCTGTCCCCTGCAGCAGCTCAGACAAGGAGCATCTATGACAAAATCCACATATTCCCAAACTGGGAGTGAGCTGGTTACAGGTGTGCACCTACCAAGGTGCTGCAGGAGCTGTGTCACCCCACACCACCACACTCTGCCTTGCAGAGATACCTCCCCTGTAAAACCTCCTTTCTATCTGCAGCCAGCTCTTCTTCCTCTGCCCTCCAGCTCAGTCAGAGCCTTGGTTTGAATTAGAAGGGAACACAGTGATGTGAGATGTCAGCTTTGGATTCGATCCCCAACAGAAATCTCCACGGCCACTTCATCAGCTTCAGGAGCTGATATCCAACACTTGGACTCATTGACCTTAAAGGTCTTCTCCAACCTACATGTTGCTGTGAAGGAACATGTTTCTTCTCCCAACCTGCATCTTTTTTCTTATTGAGGCATCTTTCCCCTCTCTTGGGGGGAAAAAAACACTTGACTGTCAGAGGGAACAAAGGGAAGGACTGAAGACAACACCAGATTTCTGGCAAAGTCACCACAGTCACTCACAAGACTGAGATAAAGAAGTTTGGATTTGGGATACCAGACCAAAATCAAGCCCAACAGCTAGCCCACCTTTGATTCTTACCCTTTTTTGCCACTCTGACTCAGCTGCTGGTTACCAAACAGTTTCCAGGAGCCCAAGAGCCTCCCACGCTTCAGAAAATTCCACTCGTAACCAAGATCCCGCAAAGCTCCACGTGCAGGAACGACCCTGGAGCAGCAATTCCCCCAAAAAAGCCTCTCCCAAAGGACCCCCCAACTCGGCCAAGGCCGGAGCCACACTCACTTGGGGGTGCTGAGGAGTCCCGACAGCTCCTTCGCGCCCGGCACGGCCTGGCCCAGGCCCACAGGGAGCGGCTTCCCGGCGACAACTGCGGAAGAAAACAAACAAACAGCTCAATTCTCCCTCCACCACCATTTTCTTTAGGGCTTCCCCCTCTCTCCCACGGCTACCCACAGGCCACGGGGCTCAGGCTGCTCGCAAAGCAGCTCCTCCAGGAAAGCTCCTGGAGCGTCCCAGGGAGCAGAGTGGGGAATAAACCGCCGGGAAAGCCGCCGCCGAGGACGCGTCACGAGCCGGGGCCCAAGGAACGCCCCGAGCAGCTCAATCTCAGGCCCCAAATCTCTCCCTAAAGGTTCTCTCCGCTCGCTCCCCGTGGCACAGATCTCAGCCCGGCGGCTCGGGGTGGCTGCTGGCCACAGGGGGTGGTGAGAGGCACTCGACAGAACACACAGGGATGCCAGGAGTCGGGACACTGGTTTATTGCGGCGGGGGGGGTACAAGCAGAGGGGTCTCCTCCCTTCCTCCTGCTCCTGCACGGGGAGAGGGAATTCTGGCTTTGGTTCTCTGTGTGCTTCTGCAATTCATTTCCTTTCTGTGGAAAGAAGTAAAAAGTTTGGAGAGTTAAAAAAAGAAGGAGGAAAAAAAATATTCGGAAGCGGGCGATTTTCAAAGGCGCCAGAGGAGAAATTGTAACCTTAAAGAAAGAAAAAAATAAGGATGTGTTTCTAAGTTCACTGTCACAGTTTGAAGCTGTACAATTAACTGAGAGATGCTTCCCAAGGAGCTGTTTTCTGAGCTGATTTCCTGTGGGAATGGTGATGACATTCCAGTCCTGTGCTGCCTCAAACAGCAGCTTCACGTGTCCAGGGCTCCGACGGGAGGGAGACATGCCAGCACCAAGTCAACGTCCTTGGGGATGGAGATGACAGGAGGCAGAGCCTCTGGCCTCGCTTGCAGAGGCTCAGGGGGAAGAACACAGAGCCTGTCACCTCTTCTGGCACTGTGGGGACATCTGCAAGGCCCATCCAGGTGGGCCTGGCCGGCTGCTGAGGCGGAGTCGGAGCTGGAACTCGTTCAGACGTGTGGCAGAGTGGAGGCCCAGAGGGGACCCGCAGAGCTGGGCACTCAGGCTGGAACGCAGGGAGGTTCTCCAGAGGCAGGGACGTCGCCCACCGGCCCTAAGGCACCTTCCAGCCACCAGCAACAACCACGAGGGGTCCCCCGGGACCCGCGTCCTGCTCCTGCCAGCAGCTCGATACCTCCGGGGAGCCCCCAGATCCCAGCCACTGCGGAGGGGAAGAGCCTGCTGCCCGCCGGCAGCCCCCCTGCTTCCCCAGCTACCCCCAAATCTCTCACCCCTCGAGCCTCTGTCCGCTTTCTGTGGCTAACTCCTCAGAAAAACCAAAAGGACACCCAGAGCTCCCCCCTCCCCACGCCGTGCCCCCCGGGGAGCGGGTCTGGGCCGGCTGCTGACTCACTTTCCGCCGGGGTGCCCAGGGGTGCTCCGGTCCCCGCGCCGGCATCGCCGTGAGAGACGATGGTCACCTTGATTTTGGCTCGTTTGGAGGATTTGGCACACGGGGTCGGGCTGGGGGCCTGGTGCCTCTTCAGCTGGGGGCGCACATCATCGTTCTCAGCCCCTTCCGAGGGCTCTGAGGACACTGGAACTAGGGGACACACAGAAGCAGCTTTTGGATAAACCGGCGGCCGCTCCCTCGAGGTGGGGGCTGCTCCCGCGGGGGC